GCTCGACTATTTCGCTTACTCGGTGGCGAGGCATAGATTTAACTCCCTCAACCATCATTATTACTGCAGATACCTTCAGTTCATTAAATCCTCTCTGTTTGCTAATCCTAAATTCTTCTTTAAATTTGTTAACTCTAAAAGAAAAATTTCCACATATCCCTCTCATGTTTCTTTTAATGGCTCTGGTTCCTCGGATGATTTTGAAATCTCAAATCTATTTGCTGAGTATTTCCGACGAAACTTTTCGATTGCTAATTTTGAGTTATCAGCAAACTACCCATATCCTATAACTAACTCGGTTTCAATACCTAACTTGGCTATTTCGGAAGATGATGCTTTCAAAGGGTTAAGTTCTCTAAAATACAGTTGTTCGCCTGGACCTGATGGAATTCCATCATGTGTACTTAAATCTTGCGCTGTCGAGTTGTGTGGTGTGATCTCAAAGATTTTTAACATGTCCTTGTGTTCAGGTGTTTTCCCTTCATGTTGGAAGAGTAGTTTCCTTATTCCTATCCACAAGAGTGGAAGTAGACAATTTGTTGAGAACTACAGAGGCATAGCCAAGTTGAGTGTCTTGCCCAAGTTGTTCGAGCGTATTGTGACTCAGCATTTAGCCTTTGCCATTAATTCGTATATTTCTCCGCACCAGCACGGCTTTCGGAAAGGGCGATCTACAGTCACCAACTTGTTAGAGTTTACCTGCTATGTTTTCAAGGCTTTTTCTAGTGGCTCTCGCACAGATGTTATTTACACTGATTTAAGCAAAGCATTTGATTTGGTTAACCATAGACTACTTATCTTTAAACTCCAAGCCTCTGGTTTCCCACCCTACTTAGTGAAATGGATAAGCTCTTATCTGCACAATAGATCCTTCAGAGTTTTGTTTAACTCCATTAGCTCGGATGAATTCCCTGTTATGTCTGGCGTACCTCAAGGAAGTCACTTAGGTCCCATTTTATTTAGTTTATACATTAACGATCTCCCATCGGTGGTTAATTCCAGCCAGATCTTAATGTATGCTGATGATGTGAAACTGTTTTCTTCCTTCTCTGTTGAATCGCAATCACATCAGCTGCAAGGTGATTTGGATAATTTTGTTGCATGGTGCTCTTTGAATCTCCTGAAACTAAATCTGAATAAATTTAAGAAGCTTTCATTCTCAAGAAGAAAGTCATTCATTACTCAGTACTTCATAGATTCGCATAAGTTGGAGGACGTCGATTCGATTACAGATTTAGGCGTTCTATTTGACCATAGGTTACGTTTTAACTTGCATATTGAACTCTCGATTAGCAAAGCTAGGTCCGCGCTTGGTTTTATAAAAAGGTGGTCCAAAGAGCTTGATGATCCCTACATTACGAAAAGGCTGTACATGTGTTTGCTTAGACCCATACTCGAGTATGCCTCAGTTGTCCGGTCTCCTTCATATAGGTGCTACGTAGATTCAATTGAATCTGTTCAAAAGCAATTCTTGCTGTTTGCCCTTAGAAATTTGGGTTGGGATCCGATTGCCTCTCTTCCTCCGTATGAAAATAGGTTGCTTCTGCTGTCCCTACCGTCTCTTGAGAAACGTAGGTTTGTTCTTGGCGTTTCCTTTCTAATTAAAGTAATAAATGGTGCCATTGACTCACCTTCATTACTTGGTGAAATAAGCTTTGATGTCCCTAACCGCTTCTCCAGGCACTTTATCTTGGTTAAGCTTAGTCAGTGTAAATTTAATTATGAGCTGTTTAATCCGCTCAGAGTCCTTTGCAAGAACCTAAATGACGTCTACCACTTATTCTCGTTATCGGACTCTTTAAAGTCCATTAAAGCATCATTGCTTAATACGCGCGATTTACCTATGTCGTATTTAAACTAGCTTTCATCCTTAAAAAGTCGTTACGTTTCGAAAGTGAATTATTGTTAATTTATTATCGGTTGCCAGGCTTAAGCATGTTTGCGATGGCTTAGGGGTTCATTTGCAATTTGATCCTGTACGGGTTGTAAGTGTGGCCCTATGCTGATAGTGTACATGCTTTTTTTTCTTTTTTTTTTTCTTCTTATTTGTTTTATTATACTTATACTAAATTTTATTATTGATTAATATAAGTTTTGCATTATGAGCCAATTGAACTCGACTGTTATTTGTTTTGTTGAGTTTCTAGTATAAGTAGAATTATTTTATTTTATTTATTTATTTTATTCCACTTATACTAGAAACTCAACTAAACAAGTAGCAGTCGAGTTCAATAGGCTCTTAATGCAAAACTAATATTAATTAACAATAAAATTGAGTATAAGCATAATAAAACAAATAAGAAGAAAAAAAAAAAAAAGAAAAAGAAAAAAGAAAAAAAAGCATGTACACTATCAGCATAGGAGCACACTTACAACCGGTACAGGACCAAATTGCAAATGAACCCCTAAGCCATCGCAAACATGCATAAGCCTGGCAACCGATAATAAATTAACAATAATTCACTTTCGAAACGTAACGACTTTTTAAGGATGAAAGCTAGTTTAAATACGACATAGGTAAATCGCGCGTATTAAGCAATGATGCTTTAATGGACTTTAAAGAGTCCGATAACGAGAATAAGTGGTAGACGTCATTTAGGTTCTTGCAAAGGACTCTGAGCGGATTAAACAGCTCATAATTAAATTTACACTGACTAAGCTTAACCAAGATAAAGTGCCTGGAGAAGCGGTTAGGGACATCAAAGCTTATTTCACCAAGTAATGAAGGTGAGTCAATGGCACCATTTATTACTTTAATTAGAAAGGAAACGCCAAGAACAAACCTACGTTTCTCAAGAGACGGTAGGGACAGCAGAAGCAACCTATTTTCATACGGAGGAAGAGAGGCAATCGGATCCCAACCCAAATTTCTAAGGGCAAACAGCAAGAATTGCTTTTGAACAGATTCAATTGAATCTACGTAGCACCTATATGAAGGAGACCGGACAACTGAGGCATACTCGAGTATGGGTCTAAGCAAACACATGTACAGCCTTTTCGTAATGTAGGGATCATCAAGCTCTTTGGACCACCTTTTTATAAAACCAAGCGCGGACCTAGCTTTGCTAATCGAGAGTTCAATATGCAAGTTAAAACGTAACCTATGGTCAAATAGAACGCCTAAATCTGTAATCGAATCGACGTCCTCCAACTTATGCGAATCTATGAAGTACTGAGTAATGAATGACTTTCTTCTTGAGAATGAAAGCTTCTTAAATTTATTCAGATTTAGTTTCAGGAGATTCAAAGAGCACCATGCAACAAAATTATCCAAATCACCTTGTAGCTGATGTGATTGCGATTCAACAGAGAAGGAAGAAAACAGTTTCACATCATCAGCATACATTAAGATCTGGCTGGAATTAACCACCGATGGGAGATCGTTAATGTATAAACTAAATAAAATGGGACCTAAGTGACTTCCTTGAGGTACGCCAGACATAACAGGGAATTCATCCGAGCTAATGGAGTTAAACAAAACTCTGAAGGATCTATTGTGCAGATAAGAGCTTATCCATTTCACTAAGTAGGGTGGGAAACCAGAGGCTTGGAGTTTAAAGATAAGTAGTCTATGGTTAACCAAATCAAATGCTTTGCTTAAATCAGTGTAAATAACATCTGTGCGAGAGCCACTAGAAAAAGCCTTGAAAACATAGCAGGTGAACTCTAACAAGTTGGTGACTGTAGATCGCCCTTTCCGAAAGCCGTGCTGGTGAGGAGAAATATATGAATTAATGGCAAAGGCCAAAAGCTGAGTCACAATACGCTCGAACAACTTGGGCAAGACATTCAACTTGGCTATGCCTCTGTAGTTCTCAACAAATTGTCTACTTCCACTTTTATGGATAGGAATAAGGAAACTATTCTTCCAACATGAAGGGAAAACACCTAAACCCTTTACCAAACAAAAATTCAGTTTTCGTCGGGTACAGCGGCAATCAGAAACTAGTGATGGAAAGAAAGGACATGGGGAAACAGATGGCCGCAGCTTAGTGGGTGTGTGTCCCGTTTGCAAGTGTTACGATTCTACCGAATGAGCACTATAGCTGCCACCAAAGTAAACTCTACCGTACTTAAAATTAGAACCCGCGGACCCTGACTTGTTTGAATTATACTTATCCAAGTTCGAATTGAAAGTGCAAACATTTGAAATGCGAACACAAACTAATGCGAGTTGATTTCTTCCAAGGTAAATGGGCGAGAATGCTGCGAGTAGTCCTATTAAACGCTTTGATGGGTGGACCAATCGCTTGTTCTTCGTGTAAGACTTGCCCTGAAAGGACATTTTTCGCATCTGTTTTGGCATGTACCATTTTTTTATTATAATTTTTTTTTATTCCAATATATTTCGTGATGTAAGGTTTTTTTTTATTTTTCATGGAATAGTTTTTTCTTTCTATTTTCAGTTATTACCTAGATTAACAGCTATGCAGTGATCCCCACTTTTTTTACTTGCCACATTGACGCCACACCAGCGTAAATATGAACAGATGGCCTCAAGGAAGGGAACACAAAATCAAGGTTACTTTACATGAACAGAAAATTTAATAAATGAGCTGCAAACGTATTCACACACTCACAGTTAATCAACTCCTAGTTGGCTTCCGCGAATAGCTTTCTGTTAAACAAGTTAACCACGGGAGAGTTTGTAAGCTCCGTTTGTTCAAAAAAACACATTCTATATACTCTTTCATGCTCGTTATGTACTGTAATTAGAGTTTTTAATAATATAATATGATTAAATTAAATCAGCTTTTTATTGAAGAGTGCTGTGGCCGTTAACAGGCTAATTTAGTTAAAACAATTTTATCGTGATATTTATATTTTAAGTCGTAGATTACTTTGATTACTTTGAACGTGTATAGCAAGTATATGCAACTTGTAAAAATAAAAAATTTTCCTTACCAAAATTTTTTGTAATTTTATAGTCAAGGTCTAACTTGTCGGTCTTGTCGAGACGCACTGATTGTTTGAAGAACGAATTCCGACTCAAAACTTACCCTCTCTCCGTATCTGTCACCCCTTTATATTATTTTATGTTCGTATAAGCGTAATAGTACAGCAAATATCTAAAGGCCATACATTGGAATATTATCCCTATTTTAGTGAACGTCAATCCAGGTCGATTCCATGTAGATTATTTACGAGACAATGGCTTAATTACTACGGCTATTACACCCTTTCTTGTTCTTGTAGCATTTATATAATTCTTAAATTCTATGATCTGTTCCAACTAAGTCACAACGAGAGCGTTCCCCAGGCGAATCTAACGTTGCCTCTTGTTTGTTGGATTACTTCGTCCTGGCTAAAACACTAATCTCTCCGGATCTTCCTGTTCACGAGTTGATCGGATTGATGAGTATTTTAAATTCTGCAATGCGTTCCGCTTGACGGAGTAAACGCTCCTGTCATTTCCTCGAAAGCTAGATTTGTCACAATCGGCATTGCCAATCGATTTTCAATTACATCCGAAATCAGCCGGCATGCCTTCGAAAGTGATATATCACCTGGTTGGTTATGATGACAATAAGCTCTACGATATATTAATATAGCTTTACAATACGTAAAATAAAAAGTTAACTTAAACGTGGGACCAATACGAACCTGGCGCTGTGGTCCTTCTAAATTTAGTTTTTTTAATAAAAAAATAACAAGTACGAACACTATAGAAAGCCACGACCAACCATTAATATCCTAAACCATCCAATAGCCGTTCGTAGAGCGGCGATGCATGGAAAGTGAACGAAAATGGTGGTCGAAAAAGTGATGCGATCCGAACCGTTTTCAATAGCGTTCCTCCTTGGGCCAAGACACAAATGTCTCAAAAGTTATGACCTGCAGGTTGAAAAAAGAAAAAAAAGCCAGACGAACAAACAAGCTTAGATTGATTTACAACAATGTGATTTAAAAAGTGATTCTAAATTGATTGGTGTAATGAAAGCTGGATCTATCTTAAGTTCTTCTGGGTGTTGCATACATTCGCCGATATTTAGCACGCCCTAGCGCCATAAGCGGTGTAAGTATAAGAACTATACTTAAGAACTAAGTATAAGAACTAAGCTTATGCCTTAACAACACATTTTTTCTCCATTTTTGCAATACCAGCAGTGAAAGGGAACGACAGCTGGCGAGCATAACTGGCTAATTCAAGTTGTTGGAATTTGTAGGGATTTTCTAGAAAGAATTAAGACGTGTTTGTATGTGTTGCAAATAGCAAAAATTTCGGAAATTTCGGAAATTTCGGAAAAAGATTAAAGGTTACCCTAACCTCAATCAATATTGTTCATGGAGCTTAACGCCAATTAAATCAAGGCAACAATTTGAGTTATAATTCCATATTATTGCATATTGATGCGAGAGATAGAGAGAACTTCCTCCGCTTAGTCAATGGTGCGCATATAAAGGAAAAACGATATCTGAAAATACGTCAAATCACTTCCTACAATCCAGTGATGTATTCTTAATAAAATAATTAACACATTAACATCTTAACTTATCGATATGTATATCTAAACAACAGTAATAATGCTATAAATGTCTAGAATAACATCTAATGAAATAAATATACAATGAATTGAATTGAAAAATTATTAAGCAATACTTGTTGTACATGTAGTTGGTTTTTCAACATTTTTGTGTTCTCTTCAGCATCACTAGCTTGAGAAACAAAATATAATATATATGCATATATGTATGCGCGCGTGGATGCATGTGTAGTGTATATTATATATAGTGAGGATGTCGCACCAGTAGGTGTCGATGACGTTTTATGCCATGAGAAAACACTCGCGCCAACAAATGGAATCATATCTCTTTACTAAATAACCGCAACGCAGGTTTAAATTTTAGGCTAAAACCATAACAAGACAAAAATATCAAACATATATACAACGTAATATACATATGTACATATTATGTCATATACAAACTAGACTTTTCAGATTTTGTGCGATTGAAATGTGAGTGATGCGCGACTATATAAGGTAATGAAAAAACATAGAGGAAGCAAAAGTAAGAAATTCGAAAAAAAAAAAACAGACAAGGAGATGGAGAAGCAAATCAAAACAATACTTGAACGTGGTTATTGACGATGATGAGCAGCAGCGCGTTGAAGACAATCACCGGCACAACGAGGCAATGTATTAAATTAATGAATAACGAACAAGTGAAAACATTAAATGCACTCTAAAGTGAATTTTACACATTCAACGATTGGATCGTAGGCTGTCATTACCTTTTTGTCAGTTAAAGCGATTTTATATTTGTTTAATGAATAGTTGCGGGTATAAAGGCATGAATAGCACAATCTATAATCCATGAACAAGTTAGAGGTGCAGGGGTCAGGAAAACTGACCGCTTCACTCCTAGACTTCTGCTAATCCATAGCGTAAGTGGAAGGTAAGGGAGTTATTCAGTACTTTTCAGTTGTAATTCCACATTTTAACGCTAGCATTTCCCGACGATTTATATTGATGTTGCCCTTCTAATGATTTATCCTTCGTTTAAGGATACAAAGTTAGAAAGTAAAAATTGTTAATTAGAATGGATCCCTTTAGTTCGCACTTGAAGAGAATAATAGGAAAATCAATTTTCTCGAACCAAGTCTTGGAGTTACGATTAAAAAGGAAAGCATCAGTTTGTCGCATAAGTAAGCAGGGAGACCAATATGACCTTTTATAGACATACTTTAAAGCTATCTATCATAGGCTTTGCATATGTAAGGCCCCCTACTACAGCTGGTATGAAAAGCAAGCGCTTGGTGACGCCCAATTGGCTTTTTAAGTGCAGGTCAACCTTAGCCAAAATTGAGACATTAAGAAGACGATATTGAAAAGGCGAATTGGCTTACACTGTTTTTCGAAGGGAAAGCATAACAATTGATTTGTAATTCTTCGCCGGAAGGTATTACCTTTCAGTTGTGCAACCACAACGTGCCGATTAGATAAAAGTGCCGACTACCAAGTCCGTGTTCGCGGCTACAAATTTCAGTGCTGTTTGTGGCCGTACTTCGTCAATGTTCAGCCAGCAAAAGCATTACACTTGGACACACTTTCACTGCTGTACTTATTATTTATTTCTATTTTTCTGCTGTCACGTCCTATTTACTTTGACCATTTTCGTGTTACGGACAGACGTCGTCCAGGCACATTAAAAAAAAGGGAAGAAATATACATCATATTGTACACCTATACCGGGAATCGAACAGGCAACAGGCAACAGGCAACAGGCAACATCGAGCTTGATATCTAGTAAACTTACATATTTTTTTAGGAGTTTCGAATTGATCGAGTTCTGTGCCAAAAAACGGCAAAAGCTTTTCCCTTAAAATATAGGTATTTTTTCTAGTACACGCCCGAACAGAAAACTGCTCATGCACACTTCTAATACTTTGTTTTCAGAAATATTATACACATCCGCGGCCAGCGCCCTCTAAAAACAGATATGCTCGGTCTTCATTATAATATTTCTTTTTTCCCGAAATACTTAATTGCCCTACAGCATATCATCATGATTTAGATCTGATGGGCATCCATGGATTGTAAGTTATAGAGGCCGCAGTTAGCTGCTTTACGATGTGGTCCAAGTATTTTTATTATATTCATATATGTATATATATATTTTTTTTGCATTAAAAATTTCATTTTGCTTTCATTTTCTTCCCTCAGTTTTTTCTTTCTTTGAAAAAGAAAACAGAAAACAAAAAACCCGAAACGTCATCACCTTTTAAAAACAATTTCTACTTTTTACAATAATAATTATTATTTACAGTAATCGCAACAAAAAAGAAAAACCAAAACAACGAAATCTAATCTTTTGATGCAGTGTTTGAAACTTCAAAACCGTTCGTAGCTTTCAAATGAAGTTTACCGGTATTTACAAATCATTAAATAAAAAAAAAAAAACAAAAAAGTCTGTCTTTTAATAAATACTAATACAGGTAGTGTACCTGTGTATATATGTGCGTTGAACAATTAGATACTTTTTGTTTTTTTTACATTTGTGCTTACAGGGTGCTTGCATACATACGTATAGGAAACTATTTTTTTGTTTTACTTTTTTCTGGCTTTTTCAAAGTTGTGTTGCGTGTTTCATTGTTTGTCTGGTTATAGAGGCCGTTAAAAGCGTTTTCTTTAAAAGTTCGTTGTTGAGAGGTAGTTTTCTTTAGATATCTGAGAGTTTTTAAGAAAATTTATTGCATAATATATTCATGGTGTGTAAATGAGTTGCCCATGCATTTGAGTGAGTAATTTGCACACTGTGTCTTGTTTGTTGCTCCGCTAAAAATCGAATGACTTTAGAAAAACAAGCCACTCAACTTATAATAAAGTATGCAGATCTTTGTTGTTGTTCCATTTATTTAGTTCAATCAGTTTCTGCTATTATAAAGAAAATATTCAAGCGCTCAAGCGTTGTTATAGTAAAACAAACATATGAATCTTTTTGTTTCACTCGATACGATTTGAGTGAGATTTTGTCTTACTCTTGCCTCATTGAAAATGCTAGTCATGTAATATTCAGAATTAAGCCGTTTTTGCATAGATTTGTCGAAAACCTTTTTTATATTACTATAGAACTAATAGTGAATGCATATCATCATGCGCTCTTTAAATTCTAATTAACATGCGACCTCTAGACTTTGCTAAACACAAAACGTAAAATGTAGGTGATTGAATGTGTTTTCGCTTCTTGTCAGCAAGTTCTTTCAAACAATGTTATCTCAGACCATTTATCTTCTTCTTTAATGCTTTAATGCTTCTGTTGATTGTTTATAATGCCAGCAGTTGAGTTCTCTTTTATTAACAGTTTGTTCTATATATTTTCAAGTTTCTTTTTTCTTCTTCTCCTTTCATTAAATAGCAATGGGTGTTGGTAGGCGTACGTCGCGATATATAACTTTCGATATTTTTATTTTCATCAATTTGTTTGTACTATTTACTAAGCTTTGTAGATGTAAGCACAAGAATCGTTGCAAAGTAAACGTAAGATCTTTACCTTGCACAGATCCTTAGACCTATCTGTCATTTCGTTTTTTCTTTCTTATCAACAGAAATTATGAAAAAATTCAAGACACCCCACCAAGCTAGCCTATACTTATATTAATGTTTAGGCGCTTGCTACCAAGTGGCGGCATACTGCGAAGTAGGGAAAAGCGGCCAAATGATTGTAAAAAGCATTAATTTGTATAAACATATGCAAAGATTAAGTAATTGTTGCAAACATACACATATAAAAAATAGAAGAATTGATAATCAAAATATTGAAAAAGTAAGTTAATGCCACTAACCATTATGCCGTGTTTGCGGACCAGTGCAGTGTGCAGATCTGTTTATAAAGAGTTCTTAGAAAAAAAAAAAGGGCATTTCAAAGTTTCGGCACGTCTCAAATCTCGCAGATCTTATAGGCCATTATGAAAACGTATGTTTATTGCCATGTTCAAGATTCGTAATGACAAAAATCGCCCGCGAAGAAACGATAAATAAATTGTAGAAAATTAAATTAGTTTGGACATGTTTTCAAATATTATTGCAAAGAACTGACCAAGCATGTCTTAGCAAAGATTCGAATCATTTTGAAGATACCCAAACTTTTAGCTAAAACGAAAAAATGGGTTATCTATGATGAGATCATTTCACGCCAGTAAAATAACAAGACTTTGGTGTAACGCTCTACTTGACCAATTTAGCTTCGCCTGCGTTTGTTGGATATTGAAAAATCAAATCCCCTACGTCAAGCAACGAACTGCTTTGATTGAGGACATAAACTTCAATCGAGGAAATGCGTCTTTTTAGAAGAAAGCCAACAAGCGTTACATAGATGTCAGCCAGCATGCTGCCAACTTAAGAAATACAACTCCACTCAAATGGAAAGGTCTTACCAAGTTCTGATTACAGCGTTATATATAGGAGAGTACAAAATAAATCTCAAAAAATTAAATCAAAAAAGTGCAGATCATCGCCATTAAAAAATTTCACGGAAACTCCGATACACCATTGAAAATAATGAGACCTATCAGAGACGGTGTTGGCAGGCGTCCATTATGTTCTCGTGGCTCCAATACAACACAAAAAAGTTAATTTTACGTTTTTAATCAACTTTTTACGGTTTTTTTTATTCCATTTTTTTTTTGTACGACCAATCACGCAGGCCATGGACGGAGACCTCCCATAGATGCATTACGATATCAGGTAAAAAGAAGTAAGGCGAGAGCTTTACTGGGAGGAGCGGGCGAGTTCAAGTGTTGTGTCTTCGAGTACTGAGTCGAGCACTGATTACAGCTATGACCGCACGACAGTTGTGGTTAAAGTGTGGTCTACCGTGATACTAAATATTAAACCTGGCTAGGTAGTCTTGTAGACTTATTAATTACTTGGCTGTGCGGTGGTTATGCTGGTCACCTTTATTAATAGTTCTCTTTAATTTCTGAGAAAAGCAACCAGGGGGCACTGAGCAAGGTGACGAATATAGGATGGATTATGGTCCTAGATCTTTAAGCTTGTATAACACGGTTACATGCTCACGTCACCATATAAGTTTTAATAAAGAAATAAATCTCCATATTTTTTATCCTAATTAGAGTCGTACAACGCAGATCGGTTCTAAATATCGCGACATGTGGACTCCCTTGATAAATTTCGAAACAGTCGCTTTATATAATAACGAAAAACATGACGTTCGTCTCCTTTAGTAAAATAGACTTTCTTTTCTTCCAGCCAAGCCGACCTGTTTATATCAATGTTGTGAATGAATGATTCCGCATTGGATCGATGTAAAGGAATGTTGGTATACACGTGCGCGCACACGTAACGGAGATGTCTTGCAAATGTATATTAAGTTGGCAACTAAGTTCGCGTTGTTTTTTTAAATTCTAACATTACAGATGCCATTAAATATTTTTGGCATAAGTGGAAAAAATTTAAATCATTCAGAAGAGGAGGTTTTCTCCTACCGAAAGCACAGTGCTTCGTCTTTTTGAAATATCAAGTTGAGGAAAAAATAGCGGAAAGATTGGTATCCACTTGATTGGTATGCAAGGTTCAAAAATGAAAACTTTGATCTAAAACACACACCTTGTCCTGGTCATTGAGTTGATTTCGATGAAGGACGAAATGGACGGCATCTACACTGCTATAGAGAAGCATTTAGATGGCTGTTCAAGAGAAAGGATCTAATCATCAACATGGAATTCTGTTGTTGGGCGGCAGCGCCTGCACAACATGATCGAGGAAGCCATTGAAACGCATAGCTAGAAACTGCTTCCACGTTCGCTGTATTTCCCCAATTTGGTACCAACGGATTTCGACCTTTTTCGATCTCTTTCAGATGATCAATGAGTTTCGTTCAATACCGAGGTTTCGCAATTTGATTGGACGAACTTTTTAAGTCGAAACCGGACGACTTCTGTTATCGGGATATTGAAAATCTTGTGTAACGTTGTGGGGAAGTCGTAAATAGCAAGGGAGAATGCATTGTTGATTAAAAAACTTTTAAAATATTGTAAAAGAAACGGTGGGAAGTTCGTTGTCGACTGACATATAATGATAGATACATTGCTTAGATACATTTATTTATTTGTTTTTGTTTTATACACGCAACCTATAAAAACTGTAAAACTATGCATAACTATTTTATACGAATATTAATCAGGGAGAGGATATCTTGGATTCAATGTAATGCTAATATGGTTTTTTTTTTATTTTTTTTTTTTTTGTTTTAAGCAGATATCAATCTTCTCGTTAGCCATGAATTCGTTCTGAGTAAAAGAGTTCTTAAGACTTTAGCGCATAAAAGAGAGAGGAGGAAATGATGTCAAATTGTTGTGGCATTTAAAAACTTTTTTATAAAAAAGCTCAAAATTAGTTTTCATTGCATTGCATCATTACTTACCTTTTCTCAAACGTTTCTCAATTTTAGTGGAAAGGTAAGACCAAGAAATTTTTCTGGAAAAATTCTGCTTCAGCTCTCTTGCCAAAAATTCCTCAATCAGCTGTTAATTATTATGAAAATAATAATTATATTATTTTTTTAAATATTTTTAAAAATTTTTCCTTTCAATTTCCATAAAAAAAAAAAACAAAAAAAACGAATAAAAGTTTTCACTTGTTTTGCGTGTTTCACTTGTTAAGAAATATAAGAAAAAAAAAAAAAAAAAAAAAAATTAAACAAAAAAAACAGCAATTGCTTAACCACTTTTTCGCATTTTGTTATGTTGCGACCACTTGGTTTTTGCTTTTTTCACGTTTTATTACGTTTTCTTCGCGCTTCATTTTCCTCCTGATTTAAACAAAGCGTAGCAAGCAATGGAGCCAAAGAAACATTTCAATTAATTTCACTTTCTATAGTTAACAGTTTAAAATAATAAAAGTCAATTTTTTTATTGCTATTGTTGTTGTTGTTTTTTATATGTATATACAAATATACATATTATTTTTTTTTTTTTATTAATTGATGATGATTTTTCATTAAATATAACTTTATATTTGTTATTTTCTTATATATGTAGAAAAACAAAGTTTTTATTTTATTTTTTTTAAAACTTAATGGTTTTTCAACTTTATTTTATCCTATTTATGAAATTTATAAGAGGTTGTTCTTGTTTTTCTTTTTTTAACGCTTCAACGCGTCATTGAATGGAATCATGGAACCATGTTAAAATTTTTAAATTATTTCAATCTTTTTTTTTTTGAGTTTTCCGTTTTCGGTTAAATCGATTTCGCGTGCGCTAACCTAAGTTTATGGTCACAACAATTCTGATAAGGAAACAAACGGATGGCTAATGGAAAAATTTTCACCAAGAAATATAATAACGCATATGGTACAACGCAGTGACTTAGCAAGTAAAGAGAATCTAATAAGTTAATGCCAGACTCTTGGTGATATTTCAACTTATTCGGCTTACTGACTGCGCGTTGTTTTTAACAACAACGGTAATCAAAGGTGCCGGGCGACTATGTTTGAAGAGAAAAGGAAGGATCGGGAAGAGGTTCGCTCTTTATGCTACAACGAAGAAAATCGATTCATGGAAAGGAAAGTTCGGTGAGGTATGTCTTTCACGCAAAATCTCTTATTTTGATCATGATAATCCCTGAAGTCGGGCAAATGTTAATCCGAAATTATTATGGAAGGTATTCCGCGACAATTGAAAAGCTCGAAAGGCAGATGATTGAAATTAATTTATTGACGCGCCCACTCCAAGAAAAAAAGTTGTTTGGTAATGATGTAATGCGTATAGCAGCGAATGCATGCTTTTTTAATTCTTTTATATGCTTTTCCTTCTTCTCTTTGTGTCTTTTTAATTATATTATTATTTGTTTTTTTTTTTTTAATATATTTTCTATTGGATTTGTAAGAAAAAAAAGAATTTAAGGTGTATTTTTCGAAATGAAAAAGTAATTTCAAATAAAACGTGGAAAACGTTATGTAATAGCCTCCACAGCCTCGCGTAATAGAGTTATTCGCATAACGAGCCTTCAAAACAAGGCGTTTAATAGGAAGTGGGCAAGAAAGTGGTCCGATTCGAACTATTTGCAATGGCGTTTCTCATTCGGCCAAAACACGTCAGTGTATCAAATTTCATCAAAATATCCTAAATATAGTGGCTTGTAGATTGAAACGATCAGATAGGTGTACTGGATCGATCGGTATGATGGAAAAGGGGTTTATCTGAAGTCCTTCTGGGTGTTGCATAAATGCGCACAAACTTAATGTACCCTTGTCTAACCCTTAATTATGAAATAATTAATTTTGGAGTCGGTCGTTTTTCTAAAAAACCCAAATCTATAAATAACAAATAAAAAATTAATATAAAAAAAAAAATTTCTCTTTAATATTTATTTTCCAGTTAAAAAGTATAATATAAAATAAAATTGAAATTTTTTATGCTTCTCTTAACGATTGTAAGGGAAACTTTTTAGTTTTTTAGTTTAGTTTTTTGTTTTAGTTTATTTTCTTTTTAATTTGGTTTCTTTTCGATGAGACAGACTTCTCTTTGAATGTTTTAAAATATTTTCAAAATAAAATGTATTTTCACTTTTAAGAATTTTATTTTTTTTTGTACTCTCGATATGTTCGCCTATTCTTTTTATACGAAATTAAAAAAAAAATTATTAGTTCTAAAGATTAATGATCTCACCATTAAGGTTTTAATTAAAATTTTTTTTTTTTGAATTTTGATGTTTTCCGAATAAATTTATTTCTTTTTTATTTCCTCTCGTTCTAATTTCAATTGCACTAAATTTTTCTTTTGCGTATTTTTTTTTTTTTTTTTTTTTTTTTTTTTTTGATATTTTTATTGGTCAACTTTCAGTCTGAACTCATATTTCAAAAAACCAGCCAGAGCTCAGCCATACAATCAAAAAACAATAGAAAAGCAAACGCACTCGTTGACTTACACAACTCAACTGAAGCTTATTTCTTACATTCAAATAGCCGCTCACTGATCTGCATGTGCTTGTGTGTGTGTGTGTGTGTGCTGCAGATACAAGCATATAAGCAAGCTTACTTACATTAACATACACTAATACACATGTGTGTATATGCGTGTTTGTCATATCGTTTCTTTAGCTGGTTCCAATTTACTTCACTTGCTTTTTTGGTATTTTTTTTTATATTTTTGCTTTTAAAGCCCCAACGGTTTTGTTTTCCTTTTTTTTTTGTATATATTATTAAATTTTTTTTTTTTTTGTTTTTTTTTTGCTGTTTATTTCTTTCTACAGCTCGCTAAGCTGCCGCTGCTTTGTATTTCTTTTTGTCTTTGCTACTTAGGTATTTAGGTGTTTATTTGTGCTTTTGTATATTAGGGAATGTGTGTGTGTGTGTGTGTGTGTGTATGTATGTATGTGTCCTTGTGTGCATGTGTTTGTATTTGCTTGTCTCTTATGTTTTAACAAATCTTTGACTTTGTTGCTGTGTTTTACTTGCTATTTGCTGTTGCTTTGCTTTTTACCGTTGTTTATTGTTGGTAGGTGGCTGGCAGCATACCAACCTGGCTGGCATAACCAACAACAGCAATAATATGCACTAAACTGTAGCTTTTGCATTTAACTTTATCTTACACAATATTGTTGTTGTTATTAATACTTTTTTCTTATTTTTTTTTTTTATTTTCATTTTATATTTTATTTCGGTTTATAAAAGCTTTGCGTTGCTCTTTGAAATTTAAGCTTTTATTTAACATTTTTAATATATTTTTTTTTTTTATAAGTTTTCGAGCCGTTGCAAAAAGTGTTCGATCTTGGCTTGCATAGTATATTGATTCTTTTATTTCGGTTGGTAACAATCGAAAAGTGCTTTATACGAACCAGTGTTTTAAGTGATGGCTTTTTACAACTGAAAGAGAAAGACAGAGGGAGAGAAAGAGCGCGTATAATAAATTATTGATTTTAAATGAGATGCAAATCTTAGGCTCGTCAAAAAATAAAACCTCATTTCATTTGTTCTGTAATATATCGACAATGCTCTTCCTGAGAAGTGAGGCTTCCTTTGTCGTTGCTTCGCAAATTGTGTGTTTGATTTTGATGTCAAATAAAACTCTTCTTAAACCATATGCTAAGAATTCTTTATAAGCGGTTTTAAAATTCTATAAAAAGCAATAATTAAATATAGTGTCCTGTGAGTGAGGAGAGAATGAAAGATGGAATCGGTTTTTAGTAATTATCGAAACTTAAACGAGGAGCTTAAATTTCGCTCGTTTTCAACGGAAGAGCGAGACGGGCAAACATTTTTGAATTCATTCCATTTTTTATATTGACCGATATTTATATATATATATATACATATACATATACATGTACGTACATATAGAAACTAGAAAACCTTTATATATTCTCTGGTAGATACAGTACATTAGAACTTCTTCTATATACTTTTGCTTAGACTAATATAGGGGTTTTACACATAACATCAATCAAATTGAGCATAGACTAATTCTGCGGCAAACAATTTTCATACAATGCTCAGTTCAAAAGTTGGGAAAATTTACAAACTTCATTTAAGCGACTCCAAGTGTAACAGTCCATGTAAGCGAAAGTTTAATACTTTCTGGCAGCAGGATTACCGTACAGCGTACCAAATAAGAAGCGCGACTGTCAAGCCAACGTACCTAGCTTTCAAGACTCCGTCCGATAGACCATGTTTTAATTCCGAATGGTGTGTCCTCACATTATAGTGCGATCTCCATAAATGAAGGCATAACACTTACCGATCTGGCATACACCTGCCAGGCCACGTTTGTAGCCTGCCACTCTTTTGCAACCTTTTTGTCCCCGATCCGATATGTGTAGGGGAAGTCACAATATGATATAACATTAAATTGATAATATTGTATTAGTGTAGCGAGAAGACGTACGCATCGGCACAAAGAAAAAATAATTCTTTTACTAAAAACGAAAATGCGTATTACTTGCTTGGATATCTACAAATATTACAGGTGAGATTGAGTAGAGATGAATTTCAGATGCAAAAGGTCGTCAATCAAAGTTGGGAGAGCCTAAATTACTTTCTGATTTTCAAAACGCAGCACATCGAAGACGTCGATATTGGGTTTTAATAATACAATGAAGCAGATATATGTTTCCACTCTCTTTTTTTTAGGACACGCCTATTTTTTTTTTGCTATTTTGAGGTGTTTTTGTAAGCATACTGCTGTGAAGACCCGTCAAATTGACGGGTAACTTTTCTCAGCCGTCACAATCGCAAAAGTGAAGATTGGAGGCTGAAATGTGGCTAAAATAATCTCGGGAAACATTAACAATTTCCTCATATTTTAGCCTAAATCTAATGTTAATGCTTAAGAATTAAGACTAGGCTCACATTTAGCATACGTAAGAGATTACGAATGCTGGCATCAGAAAAGTCCACTGCTGTGATTAAAATTAGTGAGACTAAAGTATCAATGCGCACAACGGTTAAATCCAATGATTGGGATCTTTCTCTAGCAAAGATTAGTGCATGTTTAATATACTCTTGTAAATCCCCCAAATTTTACCGATAACCGATAAATCGTTTATAATCTCAATATCGCGTTAACGTATATTTAAAAACAGATTACAGAATGAAAATCTCAAGAGAATTTCTGGTGCCAAACCAAATGAAGTTTGATAGAAAAATCAATTAATTACATTTTGAAACTGATTTAGGCACGCTTTCTTTCGTACATTGTTTTTTGTTGTAAAACTCACGCTTGCAAGAATAGAGGTAAAAAGCAGCGATTTGGCACTTGTCTTTTCGTTTTATGATCAAGCGTCATATGTTAAGGTTCAGAAAAAATGTGCCACAACAATGTTAGTGGCAGGGAGACAAAACTTAAAGCACGGATACAAATTATATATAAGTGTGAAAAAAATCTTGCCGAATAAAGCGAACTGTGGTAGCGTGCATGAGGAACCTTAACCCTGTTTCAAAAACGAATAGTCTTTTTTTTTGTGACCACCCATGCAAGGGGTGCCATGATGCGCATGCTACAAAGGAGTGGTCAGACGAAGATAGGCAATGGTGCGTTCCCGATCGGCACGTATTATACATCTACCCACCGAGGACTCACTGTAGCTACGACCACGCACCAATCGTAATTCGAATACCGTATTGAGAATTGAAACCGCCTCGAATGACCGAATACTCGATTTTCTTAATATGATTGCAGGCCTCTTCTTACCCTTTAACTTAATGTGTTACATATTTGAAACTGGCATAAAGGCGAACATATCTCTCGTGCATGTATTATTTGTGCGAACGCTTTGTGAACGCTTAAAGCTATTGTTAAAAATTGTTGCTTTCTCGCTACATATGTATAAATTGTGCTTCTATATTCTTATGAATATTTCTACATTTATTGATTTTTTTTTTATTTTTTTTTTTTTTGCTGAAAACTACGAATTTATAAATATGTAATTAAAAGTTATTTTTGTTGTCTTGTGATTGATTGTTTTATTTGTTTCCAATAAATTATTAATATATTTTCGCTAAATCTGATAACAATTTTACTTGTTTATTATTCTGGTACAGTGATCGTCAAAGCGCATCGTGTGCAACAGCTCATTACTCTTAAAAATCTCCCCGACCATTACAAGACTTACCACTACAAAAGCGCGAGCAATAGCTTTGCGATATTAATCAAGTGTTTTTTGTTGAGGAGGAAGAAAGGTTGGGAGTTGCTGTCCTGAACATTTAGTAAACTACAAGTAAAATATGATTTAATGAATTTTGATAAGTAAAAGATATTTATATTCAGCTTTAGCTGACTGGCTTTGCCTTAAACAAAAACAATAATAAAGCGAAACAAATGAAATAGCGATACTCCATAAGATTGCACTTTGTGTACAATATTGCAGAATCACCCGTAGAATATAAGAAAACATCATATCACTCAATATCTCTCGGGTAAGACACTCATATGTGGGCAGATCCGTACAATTCCCGAATAGTACCAACCTTTAACCGACACATATCAAAATTTCATAACATTCCGACTGTTAGTTTACAAATAACAGTCGTTTTAGTGACAATACTCTTCTGGTAGCTTTAGATGACTTTCGCCGATCCTGTTCCCTCGCCCGTCTGCCATCTGTCTGAATCTGGAGTGCATCGCACATCGCATAAAAGAATTTCTTTTACTTCGCTTAAACAGCGCAGCATGCCCTTTGGCCGAAGCTTACTCAAGCACAAAATGTGTTACACAAAATTGTAAATGCGGTGAATTCCAATTCCATTATTGTCAGCTATCTCCGGCAATTTAACATTACTGTCTTCTGCAGCTATTTCGCACACTTTTTCGATCTTTTCCGGAACAGTTCCCGAATTTGGGCAGCCAAGACGTTCCGCGTCATCGATGTTCATATGACTCTGTTTCAAATCAAAATTTCTATCGATTTTCTATTTCTTGTCAAAGCCTCAAGAGTAGCGTCACTAAAACAACTATAATATATGTGAAATGCTACTCGTTCAGTGATGTGCTACGTGGGACTTTTTAATCATTATAACTCTTTAGTTTAGCGGGTTACAACTAATAAGCGAAACACCAAATTTTTTTTGCTTTTGAGAGAGAGATTCTCTGTTTATGTTGCACTCTAGACCCTTTCTTTGACTGATCTGGGCCCATTTTCAATATCTCACTTTCAATATTTTTATGCGGGTTGAACTAAGTGGTTTTATGAGTCTAGGTGTACAGCATTAAGTTC